CCCCGTCCACGCAATAAAAACCAAAAAAGAATCCCCCTCGTCCTCACGTACCACCCCACCAACCTCCGGATCCAACGCATCATCCTCCGACACTTCCGCCATCTGCAATCCGACCCCACCACCAAAGACATCTTTCCCTCCCCACCTTTATCTGCTTTCCGGAGGGACAACTCTCTCCGTGACTCCCTTGTCCGCTCCACACTCCCCTCCAGCCCCACCACACCCGGCACTTTTCCCTGCAACCGCAGGAAGTGCTACACCTGCCCCCATACCTCCTCCCTCACCCCCATCCCAGGCCCCAAGAAGACTTTCCACATCAAGCAGATGTTCACCTGCACATCTGCCAATGTGGTATACTGCATCCGCTGTACCCGGTGTGGCTACCTCTACATCGGGGAAACCAAGCGGAGACTCGGGGACCGCTTTGCAGAACACCTACGCTCGGTTCGCAACAAACAACTGCACCTCCCAGTCGCGAACCATTTCAACTCCCCCTCCCATTCCTCAGACGACATGTCCATCCTGGGCCTCCTGCAGTGCCACAACAATGCCACCCGAAGGTTGCAGGAACAGCAACTCATATTCCGCTTGGGAACCCTGCAGCCCAATGGTATCAATGTGGATTTCACAAGTTTCAAAATCTCCCCTCCCCCTACCGCATCCCAAAACCAGTCCAGCTCGTCCCTGCCTTCCTAACCTGTTCTTCCTCCCACCTATCCCCTCCTCCCACCTCAAGCCGCACCTCCATCTCCTACCGACCAACCTCATCCCGCCCCCTTGACCTGTCCGTCCTCCCTGGACTGACCTATCCCCTTCCTAACTCCCTACCTACACTCACCTTTACTGGCTCCATCCCCGCCTCTTCGACCTGTTTGTTTCCTCTCCACCTATCCTCTCCTCTATCCCTCTTCTATCCGCCTCCCACTCTCTCCCTATTTATTTCAAAACCCCCTTCCCCTCCCCCTTTTCTGATGAAGGGTCTAGGCCCGAAACGTCCGCCTCTCTGCTCCTATGATGCTGCTTGGCCTGCTGTGTTCATCCAGCCCTGCACCTTGTTGTCCCTACAGCAATGTGGTTGACTCTTAATTACCCTCTGGGCAATTAGGGATGGGCAATAAATGCTGCCTCGTTAGTGATGCCCCATCCCGTGAGTGAATAAAAAAAAAGAAAAAATTCTGTTTCACAACCAAACCCAATTCTTCTCAGCAGGTTATCTTACTCCTGTGTGAGTCTGTTTTGTATACAAGGACTGCGCTTTATTTCCAACTGGTTGGGATGAATTAAGGTTGTTTGTCACTTTTTGCTGCATGGACCCTCTGTTTAAAGCACTTCATTTTGCTTTCTTTCTGGAAAGTGTGCTGTTCGAGCTGCGACTGAAGGCAGGATATTAGTGCTGGAAGGACTGGAGAAGGCAGAACGGAATGTCCTACCTGTTTTAAACAACCTGCTAGAAAACCGAGAGATGCAGCTAGAAGATGGGCGTTTCCTCATGTCTGCGGATCGCTATGACAAACTGCTAAAGGTAAATGGCAATTGTGTATAATCTGATAATATTGAGGTCTTAATTGCTGCCCACCCAATGTAATACAAAAATAGGTGGGAAGATAAGAGGTGAGAATAAACAAAAGGAGTCTGTAGAGGGATATAGACAGGTTAAGTGAGTTGGCGAAAACTAAGCAGTTGGAATTTAATGTGGGAAAATGTGACGTTATGCACTTTGGTCAGAGAAATAGGGGAAGTATGGAGAATCCAGATATTATTTCAATGGGAGAAAGACTACAAGAAGCTGTGGCATAGAGATTTGGATATCCTTGTGCATGAATCACAAAAAAACTAGCATCCAAGCTCAGCGGGTAATTGGGAAGGCAATTGGAATGTTGGTTTTTTTTTCCCAAAAGGGAGTGGAGTGTAAAAATAGGGAAGTCTTGCTAAAACTATATAAGGCAAAATTCTGGCCATACTGTGGCCAGAATACTGTGAGCAGTTTTGGTCCCCCTACCTAAGGAAAGATATGCTGGCATTGGAGGTAGTCCAGAGAATGTTCATTAGGCTGATACCTGGTATGGAGGGGTTGTCATCTGAGGAGAGATTGAGTAGGTTGTGCCTGTACACAATGGAATTCAGAAGAATGAGAGGTGACTTTATTGAAACACATAAGATTCTTAGGGGACTTGACAGGGGAGGTGTAGAGAGGTTATTTACCAGTGGGGAAAATCTAGGATGAGGGGGCAATATCTTAAAGCAAGTGGTCATCCATTGAAGACAGAGAAGAGGAAGAATTTCTTCTCTCAGCAGATAGTGAATTTGGATAATTCTTTACCACAGAGAGCCATGAAGGGTGGGTTTTGAAATTTGTTCAATAGGCAGATTTATAATCATTAAGAGAATCCAGCATTATGTGGATAAAGCAGGAATGTGGAGTTGAGATTTTAGATCAGCCATGATTTTATTGAATGGCAGAGGAGATTCGATGAGCTGAATGTCTTACTTCTGTTTATACATCGTACAGTCTTTTCAAAAGTTATTTGGCTTTTCAAATAATAGTGTCATCCCTGAACTGAAAAGTAATCAAGAATTATTAGACTGTGCAGCGGCCCAATAACTCCCAATGTCACTTGTTCTAATCTACTTTGCTTCAAGTGTAATGCAACCCCACCCTTAATATGCACCCTCTGTCTGGTCTTTCTTAAAGAAACTAATGGACTAGACTGCAGTTCTTCTTTATTTTCTCTAAAAATGAGATGTGTGTACAACATACATGCTGCTTGCCGCCCACTTGCCCATTGGTGAGCCTGTACAGTGTTTACCAGCTTCCTCTCTCCTTCCTGGGATTACCCCATTCAGGGCAGAATGCTGCAGGAGTTGGGAATACAGGAATGGAAATAAGCCTCTCGAACCTGTTCTGTCATTCCCCAGATCTTGGCTGATCTGCATCTTAGTTCTGGCCACTTGCCTTGACTCCATTTCTCCTAATACCCTTGGCTGATAAAATTCTATCAATCTCAAGCTTCAAATTTGCATTTGATCCTCAGTCTTAAACTTTTAGTCATTATTTTTAATTACTTTAAAGGGAGAAAACGCCAGATTTCCACTCCCCTTTGAAGAAATGCAGAAGTCCAGAATGGTTTGGCTCAAATTTTAAGGTTACAGCTCCTTATTCTAGACTTTTCTGTTGGAAGAAATAATTTCTCTACCTTCTTCTCTGTTAAGACCTTTAGTTGTCTTAAAGACTCCATTGAGATCAATTCCATCATACTAGCTGCCTGTCTTCTTAATATAACATTTATATCGCTGGTATTCTGATGAATCTATGGTGCTACCCTTTCCAAGGCGAATATATCGTTCCTGACATGGTGCTCATAACTGAACAGAGTTAGTCCAGTGCAATCTAAACAGACACTGGATAGCTTTAATATAACTTCCACAAATTTGCATTCCAGCTTCCTTGAGATAAGTACCTGTCAGAGGCTAAGCATTCTGTTGGGAGTAACTCATCTCCTGTCAATTGCATTATCTGCGTACTATATGCAAGGCACAAAAAAAAGGAGTATGAAGGAATACTGCCCACTTAATTGTATTGAGTGCAGCTCCAAACGTTTAAGAAGCTTGACACCATCCAGGACAAAGCATCCAATTTGACTGGCACCACATACACCATGTTCAAAATTTGCTGCTTTCACCACCAACATACAGTGGCTGCAGCATACACTATCTCTAAGATACACTGCAGCAGCTCACCAAAGTCATTCAACAATAGCTTCCAAAGCCCCAGCACCTTGAAAGGAAGGGCAGCAGGGGATACGATAGCTCGATGGTGTAATCGCATGACTATTAACCTGGAAATAAAGCTAATGTTCTCGGGACCCAGGTTCGAATCCTACCCCAGCAAGTGGTGGAATTTGAATTCAATTAAAAATACCTGTAATTATGAATCTATCGATGAAACTGTTGCCTATTGTCTAAAAAAACCTATCTGGCTCACTAATGTCCTTGGGAGGAAATCTGCCATCCTCACCTAGTCTGGCCTACATGTGACTCCAGAATCACAGCAGTGTGGTTGACTCTCAACTGTCTTCTGAAATAGTGTAGCATGCTACTTGTTTGTATCAATCATGACACAGTCTCAAAGAAATAAAACCAGACGGACTATCTAGCATCACCCTTGACGCTGGAAAAGACACTGGCAGATACAGCTCTATTGATCCTGCAAAGTCTACCTCACTTACACCTGGGGGCTGATAGCAAAATTGGGAGAGCTGTCTTCCAGAGGAGTTAAGCAACAGCCTGACATGAATATACTCACAGAAACATACATTACAAACAACGCCCCAGACGCCACCATCACCATTCCTAGATATGTCCCGTTCCACCAGCAGGACAGACTGAACAGAGGTGTACAGTCGGGAGGGAGTTGCCCTGGGAGTCCTCAAAATTGACTCCAGACCTCATGAAGTTGCGTAGTTTCAGGTTAAACGTGGGCAAGGAAACCTCCTGATGATTACCATCATGAGTAATGTCCTCCCTCAGCTGATGAATCAGTACTGTAACACTTGGAGGAAGCACTGAGGGTGACAAAGATGCAAAATGTTCTCTGAATGGGGGATTTCAATGTCTGCCATTAGAAGTGCCTCGGCAGCAACACTATGAACCGAGCTGGTTGGGTCCTAAAGGTCATAGCTGCGAGACTGGGTATGAGACAAGTTTGAGGCAACCAATGAGAGAAAAACATATTCAACCTCAACCTTATCAGTCTGCCAGTTGCAGATATATCTGTCCATGACAGTATCAGTAAGAGTGACCACTGCACTAGTTCTTGTGAAGATGAAGTACAGCCTTCACACTTAGAATACTGTACATTGTGTTGTATGACACTATCACGGTACTAAATGGGACAGACTTCAAACAAATCTAGCAGCTCAAGACTGGGCATTCACGAGGTGCTGTGGGCCATCACCAGCAGCAGAATTTTGTACCAACACAATCTGCAACCACGTGGCCCAGTATAAACCCCGCTTAAACATGGCCATCTAGTCAGGGATCAACCCTGGTTCAGGGAGAATGCAGGACACTTGCCAGGAGCAGCACTAGGCATTCCTAAAAAAGAGGTGTCAATCTGGTGAAGCTACCAAACAGGACTATATGTGTGCCAAGCAGTAAGCAGCAAGTGATAGACCAAGCTAAGCAATCACACAACCAATGGATCAGATTCTGCAGTCCTGCCACATCCTGTTGTGAATGGTAGTGGGCAGTTAATCAACTCACTGGAAGAGGAGGTTCCACAAATATCCTTATCTCACATTAGTGCAAAAGATAAGGCTGAAGCATTTGCAGCAGTCTTCAGCCAGAAGTGCCAAGTGATTGATCCATCTCTGCCTCCTCAGATACTGAAGCAGTCTATGTTCAAATGCAGCAAGATCTGAACAATATCCAGGCCTGGCTGACAAATGGCAAGTAACATTCGCTTCTCACAAATACTAGTCAATTAACATCTGCAATATGAGACTTCGTAACCACTGCCCCTTAACATTCAATGGTATTACCATTACTGAATCCCAGAAACTCAACTGGACTTGCCGTACAGATGCAGTGGCTACAAGAGCAGATCAGATGCTAGGAATACTGTGGAGAGTAATTTGCCTCCTGACTTCCCAAAGTTTGATCACCATCTACAAGACAGAAGTCAGGTGAGTGATGGAATACTCCCTGTTTGTCTGGATGGGTGCAGATCTAACACTAAAGAAGCTTGACACCATCCAAGACAGAGCAGCCTACTTGATTGGCATCATATCCATAAGTGTCCTGCCCCTCCACCACTGATACTCTGTAGCAGCAGTATGTATAGATAGTCTAGATAGACTGTGGAAGTTCACCGAAGATCCTTAGACAGCACCTTCCAAACTTAAGGTCACTTTGATCTTGATGGATAAGGGCAACAGATACATGGAGCACGACATGCAAGTTCCCCTCCATGCCATTAACCATCCTGACTTGAAAATATATTGTTGTTACTTCAGTATCACTGGTGAAAAAGTTCCTAGAATTCCCTTCCTAAGGGGATTGTGGGTCTACCTTCAGCACATGGACTGCGGCAGTTCAAGAAGGCAGCTCACAATCACCTTCTCAACGCCCCCAATAATGAGTAATAAATGTTTGCCAGCCAGTGGTGCCCATGGCCCACAAGTGGGGAAAAAAATTAAACAAACTGGAGCACCACTTTCAAATTTTCCTTCAAGACACAGACTATCCTGAGAACTGGATTGCCATTCCTACACATTGCCGGGCCAAAATTCTAGAACTCCTTTCCTAACTATGGGTGCACCTACACCCCAAGGACAGCAGTGTTTCAAGAACGTAGCTCAGCACTACCTTCTCCAGGGCAATTACGTGCGAGTAATAGCCAGTGATGCCTGTATCCTGTGAAGGAAAATAACTTGATAAAATTTCAGTGGCTTTTCAGATGAACTTTTGTATACGTTCTGGATCCCTCGTACAGTTTTTATAAGCTGCCTTCTTGAGTTGCCT